GCAATGAGAATAAAATGAAAATAAAATTCGTGATTTTGTTTAATAACTATATAAAACATAGGAAGACGAATTGTATGATATATACTTCTTAATGTGTATTTGACTTGTCTTGAAAGTTTGATTACAAGAATAATGCAATTTGGAATAAAAGTAATTTGTAAAATTAACATTCTTAAAATAAAGTCAATCCATAACCACATCGATCGATACCAAAGAACAGAAACTTCAATGCTAAAACTAAATCGAACACTGTAACTGTTGTTATTTCTATACTCATTATTTTATGGAATGCATAAATCTATCACACCGTTCTGAGCCAAAAAAACCTTTATTGCACGCGCTTACAAAAACTAAGGATAAAAACAAAAAGCCTTAAGCCTTAAACAAAAACATCTTAAGCCTGTCGATTAAATCTATCGATTGTAAATAGGATCATCTTCTAGTTACTATTTCTTATAACTAATGCATCTGTATATGGATGGCGAGCACGAACTCACCTTGTCATTTTCAACAGTAACTTTATATTATTGTATCGCGATAGTATGATACTTCATAAAATTGAACTAAGAGATGAACAACATTTACTTCGTTTTTTAAAAACGGTTACACATACTTTTTAGGTACAAATGAACTATACTGCACATAAATAAATAAACTGTACCTAAAATACCAAATGTATATCATCCTTGTAATACAATTTCTATTACATAACATTAAACGAAGGAAGCATAAAAATCTAAATAAAATCTCATAATATAAATTCCAAACGGACAGAGATAAAATTATATCGGAGTATACAATTAATTTACGTTATCGCATTAATTATAATTTGTAATTATTTTATAATTTTTCACGTAATTCTATAATATATGTAAACTATATCAGACATACTGTATGTAAAATATATCTAATAAGCTTGCGTTTCGTTCGCACCATAAATGTCAACTTCTATAAATAAAGATTTCCACACAGGTCTACGTTTTACGAGACGGAAAATGAGCGAGCCAGAAGTCGTACGCACAGTCGGTTGTAGGTTGAGAGGTAAGGTAGCCGAGGAAACGGCTACCTACTCCCTTATCCTATTCCTGAACGTCAGCTTCGCGTGCAACCTTATGCTAATCTTCGTTGACTATATAAGCGACTGGTCAGTGTTCGCGTCGTTCCCTTGTTCCCCTCCTTTTCAACCCTTCACTAGCTTAGACTTCTTGCGGAACAACCCACTGGCGGTGTTTCCATTAAAGTCAGTGGCGTAGCAATTGTTAATTGATTGAAGTCGAAGTTAAATGAGATTGCATAAATAAAACAAATGATAATTTCTAAATAAATACATTTATAGCGGATAATGCTACTTCTCTTACGCTTATAGATCCTTTTATTCGCAATCTTTGATAATGATTAATGTACGAAGCAATTTATAATTACTCACCGGTGATACTCAACACGACAACTAATTTTTCTTCGCCGTAAATTAAGAAACAAATTAAAATTGACTTTTATAACTCGCGTGCGTGTTATAAAATTAGAATGTCATTAGAATGTCAATTTCCCCATAAACACTCTCCCATATTAGCTTATATTCAAGGTGTTCGCAATTTTTCATGCCACGTATTCCAGTAAGTGACTAATAATCGTCGTTTCCTAGGGTTATATCGTTCCTAGTGCCGATCCTGTTTTACGCTACTACTACATACGCGGAGGTGCATTTATTCTACGCGCAATTTGCATGCATTGGCCCTTTCTATGTACGTAGCACAACCTCGACATAACGACAATAGTTCTCCAAATGTCCTTATTCCACTGACTCGTTTAAGTGCACTTTTTTCGCCTATTTCCAAAGAACAATACGATACAGGTACATATGTTGTATCTCACTTCAGTAAATATGCAGCCTATCAGAAATTAATAAACATTGATTAGTTCTTTTTAATTTATCAGTCGAATAATATGTTACAGATGATTTAGAATATATACAGTTTTACATGTCCATAAATAAAAATCTCTTCTAAAACAATTTCTTTTTTATTAAATAGATGTCCTTAGAGAAGTATATTACTACGTTATAAACTTAGTTTGCGTGCAATAATATTGTGGTAATTTTAAAAACAAGTTTTCATACTTGCAGTTATAAAAGAAATAATTGCAAAAGTCGTCATGATAATAGAAGGATATAATGGTATAATATGTAATATAATATATTATTATACTTATTCATATATTTTTAATACTGTGAGCATTATATTGCAGGTAAATACCTGCACCTGAAGAGTACCAAGTACCATGTTACGTCCAATACTTTGAACTTAATCATTTTTCTACGTATATTGTGATGTGTGTAGACGATATAGATATAAATGTAACACGATACATATATAAAATTCAATGTTTTCTGTGTATGTATGTACGTATGTGCATTTATTCCTACTGATATTCGAACACCATTTAAAATAGAGCAACTTTTTTAAAATAGGACAGACGGCTTGATGTTTCGTGGGAAGTTAGAAGAATTAGTTTACTGGATGGCGTACAGATTTTATGAAAAAATTGCGATCGGTCGAAATTGCGAAGAAAAAAATAAAAATTACTTTTTGCAATACTTTTATCCGGGCATGTAACAAAAATGTAAACAACAGATTTTGGCTATTTATGTCATGTATAGAACCAGAATATTTCGTCGGAATTAATTGGTACAGAAACAAACAGGCATCGAAAAATTGTACAAATCTTTACATTTCTTGCAGGTATAGGCTGAAAGTAACGAGAAGCTGCAATTTTCGCCATTTCTAACCGTTTGTAGCTTGTAGCAACGTTATCCGATTTCGAAGAAATTTTCAACATGTACATATACACATAGCTGCCATAAATCTTCAAAATGTGTTGTTTAAATCTTCATTACACATCCAGATAAAAAACTAGTAAAAAGTAACATCCACTTTTCTTTTCTTCCTCGGAATTACGACCAGTTGCAATTTTTTCAAAATTCTCTTACGCGTCATCCAGTCAACTAATAATCTTCTAACTTCCTAAATGAACTCAAGTCATTTGGCTCAACTTTAAAAAAGTTATCCTGTTTTAAAGAGTGTCCAAATATTAATAGAAATAACTGAACGTACGTATATGGCACAGAATCAGAAGGTTATTCGTCTTTCAAACAGACTATAGGACACATTTAATACCTCGTTCCTATTAAAATATTGACGAGTTTTAATCGAAATGCACCTGTTAGTCTTTCGTTTCATGATCTTAACTAAGTATAAAAAAAAGTATTGTAATGTTCAGGCACTACGTCTATGGTATAATTAAACGATATCGTAGCTGGCATCAACATTATTTACGATGAAACTCCGACGCTTTTAATCACAGAGAGCTTATCTCCTTTAGAATAGATGATTAGAGCGAAGAAATCGAACTTAAGATGTCTATCGTCGAAATTTGTTCCCTGTGGCAAACAAATCACGCGACCCCCGCGTTAAAGAACCCTTCTTATTAGGGACTGCGTAGCTACTAATACCCCGACTTCTCAAGCCCTGACTCATCGACGTTACGCTGCCTTTTGGTATTACATCGATAACTCGCAATTTTTTCGCAAAAACCTTTGAAATGTAGACCGAATACTCGCAATCCAACTACTATCAATCTATCCATCTACTATCATTGTGAAATTATCGCAGATAAGTAGAAATTTTGTAAAAAGTTTCACTCAAATTTTATAGAAATTAATGTAAAATAAATGATTTTTTTTTATTTCACATTGGTTAAATTACAATTTGTAGCATAATTTATATCGCATCCTTACTTCCACAGTGATACATCTTGGAAATGTTAATCTGTTAAAAAATACAAAGGACTGTCTTTGGGCGTAACGTCACGTTATATTTTTTCTACAGAGATGAGATTAAGAAAAATTAAGAGATTAAGAAAATACTCGAAGATTTTTGTTATACCAATGATTAAAAAAATTCAGTTATCAACTCGTGTCACGTTCGTAACAGGAGTGTGATATATATATGTATATTACAAAAATATCTATAGCTGTAATTAAATACAATGGCGAAAATAGTTCAAGGTGAATATGACCAAGGTTTTCATGATAATTGCAAGACGTCGTTTATGGAAATGAAGCTCATTATGAGCAAGGTCACTGATTAATTTAGGTATGAAAGAATTAATTATTCCAGAGTATATGGACAAATTTTAACATTTTCTAGGTAGTTTGCTGAGCATACGCAAGCATAACTATTTAAAATGCAGTGAGAAAACTCCCACAGTCGTATTATCGCAATCGTTCCAAGGCTATTAAAACTAACCATACACGTCGTATCAGATCGTATTTTTACCTTTTGCCGCAGAATCCGCAATCAGCATTTACATAAATTTTACTTTTACCTGCATCGTTAACGATATACTGTTTTATTTTCAGTTTGATTCCTTAGATTGATGCAAAATTACCATAAAAAAAATATCTACAAATATCTAACAATCTCTTATCAACAAAGATACGATTCTTCGTCTTCGATAATTCCATAAATGAAATTTCACCGATGAGTTACAATGGCGAGAACGTGCGTAAATTTCTCGCGTTACATTTAAATAATAATAATTTACATCCAAAAGAAGTATTCAAAAGAGTTTAAACGAACGTTGCGTTACAGAGGGACGTTTATCTTATATTTTATAGACTCGCGGTTATACGACATTCATTAAAATTCTTTAAAATATCGCTTTTAAGAGGTAAAATGAAAAAAAAAACGTGTATATCTGACCGGAAACTTTCGCATACCACTGAATCTTCACGAAATCAGAGAAAATAGCGGGAAAACGTGAAGACCAGTAGAAAAGTTTGAAGTAAAAATGGGTTATGTGAGAGAAAAAGGTGGATGCACCTTCGGCAACCTGTGGAGAGGGGATGGCCGGTGTTTCGCGACGTACACGTGACATGGACGTACAGGGTTCGCGTTGGGGGGTTGAACGAAACAACCCCTTCACATGCGCGGCGTTCGCGGCCACGTGAAGTGGTGCGTTCTTCCACAACTCTCGAAAATGTCGACCCTCGACCACGGTTAAATCCGCGTGTAAAGTCTATTCTTTCATCGAAATCACGACCTTTCGGTCACGAAACAAAAGTCAAAGACACAGGAGGGACGATCATTGTAAAAAGTTTACGTGACGAGTGTTGTTTAGGTGTTTCGTTAATTGCAAGTGCTTCGTTTAACAGTCTTCTTATACAGTTGCTTCTTATACAGCTGTTTCGTACAACGTTTTCCATATTGTTACTTGCAAGTACGACAAGACGTTGCAAGTATTTCTCGTTGTTTTAATAGTTTTATCGATTTTGTTAGCGAATCATTCAGACGTGGTTCTTCACTATAACTGAAATCAGGGTTCTTCGGGGAAGAACGTGATTCACGTAAAGTGCACGTTATCGCGTGTATGAATTACTTTACGCGGGAAAAAGTATTCTCGAAGAATGTATTAAATGAACGATCGATGGACAACAGCGCAAAAGCATGTATTGCTTCATGATTTTGCGGTACTGAATGACTCTGCGATCAGGTAAATGAACATTAGCGATTACTCTGCGACATTTCGTTTATAGCATCAAATTATTCTACACAATATCACGTTACTCTCTGTATCTGTTAAAATCCTTATATGTGTGCATGCCGCATAATAAGACCTTAAATGGTTGCCCTAAATAGTAAACATTTAAACTTGAAGAGTACAGCTCTTCAATTTGTATAAATTATTTTCATGTGTGTAATAAATTAATTTCTACTAGCATATTTACGCTTCGTACTTTTAATATTTCGACATTATAATTAATATTTTACATATGGTAGATATAACAGAACGAAATAGCGAAAAAATGGATAATTAAAATACCAAATAATCAAAATATCAACATATTAAAAATTAAAGGAATTTTTTAAATTTTACAATTGGTATATTTTCAAGAATGTACTTTCAAATTTTATTTCATTAAATGTTCAGTATCCTAATTGTTTCATACTTTTGCAGAAAGTTTGTTGTATATCGAATACATGACGCAAAATTGTTTTAGTTGGCGCATTCTGTGTGCTTTAAGCCAGCGTGGCATGCCAGCACGACATTACATATCCCACTAACAAAGATATTTGATCGTTCTACATTTTGTGACGCGGAGAGTGTTTGACCGTTTCATAAATGTGGATAATAATAAATTTTCTGTCTCGCCAATATCGAATGAAAGCGTTTAGACAAATTCATTTGCGTGCCAAAGGTATTCTTAACTAAGTTATATATACTATACCACAACATATAGTCTATAATACCTTAGAAACTTTTCATTCTCGATTATTTAACGATGCACAGCAAAATACTTTTTAGTGATAAATGCAGATGGTAATTAAAAAGTGTTAGCTTAAATATATTCTAATTGATATAATATCCATGAACATTATTAAACGTTCAACAATTTATTATTATTGTACTTTCTATGAAAGATTACGTAGCATTTATAAGAGACTTACTAGAATTTATAATTTCCATTTAAAAATTGAATTTATTTTATCGTTCATATCGATAGGTGTATTTGAAATATACAAATTGTTCGCGTAATAATATTCTTTTCGGATATGCAAAAATGGAGGTTATTTAATCTTGAAAAATTCTATATGATAATTCACGAGCATTATACAAGTATGTGATGGTGTACGATGTAATGATGCTTGTTAAAGGCTAAGGGAAAAAGAAAATTAAATCGATCCATGCAGGGTGGACAATGACCGGGCGATACTATTAAATTCTTATGCACAATGAGCGAGCAAAAGCTTGATTTTTCTTCAAAGACGAGAATTCGTGCTGGCTTGTTAACATAAGACGAGCACTTTTTAATATTTATGAACTGTCTTGGCTACACGAAAGCGAAGCAATCAAAATTTAACAAGTCGTGAATAGTTAATAACAGCAATTCGAATTTTAATATTTTATCGAAGTTCTTTGGCTTCTGGTAATTCTATTCTATATACGTGATATTGTATAGGGTATAATATTTTTTCGAATTCTTCAATATCAAAGTTTAAATAATAAGATTTTCTCGCAAACGATATGTAAAAGCATTGGTAGAAAAATAGACTGATATCTTTTACAGATTTCCATGATACAGAATAACAAATAAAGTAAACAATCTTTATAATCTATTTCAATATTCAATGAAATATTATAAATTGGTCAGAATATTGACTAAAATACTGTATAATTAATTAGTGAATTAATAACCAATTTTTTAAATTCAATTAAATGCAAAGTTACTTTGATACAACTAAACAAATTTTACAATTCTATATCTATTCTAGTATAACTAAACCAATTCTCTGTCATAGTGATCGAACGATGGTTTAGCCTTTGCAAAAAGTAATATTTGTACAATATTCGTTCTACGATCTTCTGCTGATAGGAAAATTTCTTGATGGAGAATTAGTTAATGACCTATATTCACTTCCGCTATGTTCAATGTCATACGTTCCCCATTCTGCCCTAAACCAGAGCGATTTCATCGGCACGTGGCAAATTGTGCCATAGCGTAAATTACATCCTTAGAATTCGTACGGGTAAGCGTTCTTACGGGTTGAGTCGTTTTAAAACTTCCAAACAATAGACAGAAGACAAGTCGAAGGCTTTCAAATTAATTGCGAAATTAAACACCTTCAAATTGATGTGGAATAGAGTACCAGTTCTTTACAAAAATGGCTCTGGTAAAAAATTGATTGCGAGTACAATTTAATTTTAGAATAACGATAGGACATTTATAGATTTAACACTCTAAAAATACTAATCATTCCTGTAAACTGTAGGTCATTATAGTTAGTCATGCCTATAATAGTAATTCCTGAATAATTTATAATTGCTCTTAGTATGGAAAATGTGATATACTTTGGACATTGTATCTCTGTATACATATGTAGTATAGTTTATTCATCATGAACCTAGTTAACTAATTAATGATTTGCTCCTATTACTTTGTTTATTAATATTTCTTGGCTTTATCATTTCTATGATTATTTAATATCGTAAATTCATTTTTAAATTTTTACTCTTACATACTATTATATATCATTATTGTAATTTTTACTATTAATAAATTAATATAAAGCAAATAAAAGTTTAACGAATGTTTCATAAGGTACTTTAACTTCAGTGTTATAAATTGCGTGTTCTTCTATCATGCTTGTATGTCAAGTAAAATTTAAGTTAGGCAATTATTATAATTATAGAAAAAGTTATACCGAAAGTGAGTTAGAAATATCTTAAACGTAAAAACTTTCCTAGCTTATTGTAATGATCTGTACTTTGTTATCGTTGTTTCTTTTACGTTTCTTTTAATTGTTGGAGAAATTTACTCAGAAAATTGAAAAGCTCGACATAGACTAAAGAAATGATCTCTGTTATTAGATACTAAAAAAATAATATTTCTCATTAAATTTTATTGCTCGTATACATGTATAAGTATCAGCTCATGTAGTTATATAATTTTTCCAAAACAGCAAAACACGAAAGCACCGCAATATAAAACTAAAATAAAACCAAATGGCATAAACGGTTATGATTTAGACATGGGAAATTTTTTTTATTTTTTAGAAATTAATGGAATCCTGATTGTGTAGGTGTCATAAAACCATGCGTTTTAGTATTAGTTCACGCCTCCTTTTACTGTTTTACGCAACAGGATTTACGATTGGTGTGAAGAACTGACCGCTGACTCAAACACTGTTATGTGTTAGTTCTGAATAACGAGTGGTCACGACCTCGTTTCTTGATCACAAAATCAATATTTCCGATTCTATCAGAATTTTTGTCGTTAATGTACATTATTCGTCCGTAACAGTAATACTATCCTTAATTTTGTACCTATAGAAAACAAAAATTCTATAAATTATACTACATCGACTTACGGTAACGCATTACAATTCTACTTTCAAATCAATAAATATAAATGCACAGAACGTAAGGATACAAATTAAAAAGTATAAATTATTTGTAGACTATTGGTTAAAGGCTTACAGCATAAAGCATAGATCATACTATACTCGCTATGTATAAAAAGAAATAACGTGTTTGGAAACGCTCTAAATGAATATTTTATTATCGGATGATTATTCCATTGCTTTTTCATGTCGTAAAACGTTCCACGAGTTCAGTGAATTATTTCTCGATAATAAATCGATAAATCTCTGGTCTATAATCGGAAATTAAACACGGTAGCACCTGATCTATCTAATGCTTATTTCACTGTCTATCAAATTTCCGGAATCATAATAAAGTGAAACTCGCACGTATGCAACTATTACGTATATGAGCACGTAATATATCGGGTTTCTACAGGCAATATATTGGCATGCAGTCTAGACACTCAGAATTTATTTTATAGAAATTTGCTGTTTATCATACTATCACAATAATATATTATTCATGGTATTAAATTATAATGTGTCGGCTCGTTCTTGCAAAATTGTATATCTATCTAAATAGTTAATTCGCCTAAGCCATTTGTAATTCTTCTGACGGCAATTCATAAAATACATTTGACTGTAAAACTCAGCTACATACATATGTTTTTATAGTGTACATAGTACGTGTAAAAGAACAATATTAAAACAGAAGAAAATTTGAGGGATATACCTTTTTAAATATTTCCAACTGATTTGGAACGATTATTTCATCTTTTTGTTAGTTACATAACGAAATGAAAGGTATATCAGAAAAGTCGTTTATTTAAAAAAATATATCTTCGAATAATACGCGACAACCAATAAATATGTTAAAACAAAGATTGCAAATTTGATAAAAAAATCGATTCAAAAATTTATTTAATTAATATAAAAATCATTCCAGTATTTACCAGTGATTTTATAACAGATCATTTATTCAAATTATCGTAAGTAAGTTGAGACTGCTGTCAAGGAAAGAAAAGGGTGCGCGCCCTATCACGCGGTACCAAGGAATGACCACCGACTGCCTTAAATAATTACTCACTGGATAAATGGACTGACTGTCAGTCAGTTTGAGAGCGCTTGAACTCGCCCCTTCTAATATTTAGAAAAGAAATAGGGGCACTCGTATAACGAGATATCGATCTTTTCATTAACGCAATAAATTCACAAGTTCGATGCACATTGATTACGAAATACATTTATTATTCCTCCTAACAGTGTAATTAATCTCTTTCCATAATTTGTAATTTATATTTCAGAAATCCCCAAACATTTAGATAATAAAATTAAGCTAAAATGTATATTCCCATTAACAGTGTTTCAAAATTGAACAAAATAAAATTCACGAACATCCCTATCAGAAACATTTTTCGTATAATAAAAAAATTCCAAAATGAATACGTTCGTCTGACATTCCATTTTTAAAAGATAAAATACTATTAATTCGAGACGTTTCATTCACGTAAAGGATAGAATAAATATTTTCTTATTTCATTTCGTTCTTCTTTATTCATTTCTGTTATACTTGAAATTGTTAGTTTGTCCAACGCGCATTCACTTTAAATATCTTGCAATTAGCACGCTATAAAAGTGCTTCTTCGAAGTATTTAAGTCGCTTGGATAAGAACACAACATTTGTTTTGACTACGAAGTAACCATGTCCGCATATAGGTTGACTATATAGGGCGCTTACTAAGGGGACAATTTATGGCAGTTTCATCGTTATTAAAGAAACATATGTATTGAGTTGCTGGCAAAGTTCGTAGCAATTTTATCAATCGATATATTTTCCTGTATATTTCATGAGATCACAAGAAGATTACTTATTTTGGACTTCTGTCGCAAATAACAAAATACTGGATTCGAATGGAGCGTTCATAATCGCACATTAAATGAAACAATTAAATAAGAAAAGAGCGGGATACAACAATGAAAAAGAAATCGTTTAAAAAGACAATATTAAAAAATCAGTAAATAACAGCAATGATAAATGTTAGATTTTACTTGGCATACCTAAAATCATACGTTCTACTCCTTAACTTTCGGCAACCATTCGTCGTTTGATTACGATTTATCAATCTTTATGAGTCTTTAGGAAACTTTCTTTCGTGGTAAGGAACCAAATACTTTAAAAGTTTAAAAAATCATTTCAGAACTATATCAAAAGCAAAAATTACTTCTATTGAAAAAGACAAACTTCTTAAAAGAAAAAGATCATTAAACTACCCCCAAAGTAATTCACGAAAGTATTCGTACACTTATAAAAATCACTTATGAAAATATCGTGTACATGTTACGTAAAACATTTTGCGTTACGTAAAATATTTCATTTTACTATTTTACTAATAGCTTTTAGTTAGTTTCGCACAACATATTGGTAAAATAGCTATCGATCGCGTTAGGCGTTTGAACGTACTATTTTTATTCAGAGCAGAGATCTAGAAGAAGTAATCCGCTGTTTGCAGAATGCCCTTTGCAGGACAATGGTGCAAAGTATGGATTTATTTCGGATTCGTTTTCGCGTGGGCAAAGGGTGCGCGTCCACGCTTTGATACCTCCACGGACATGGGATTAGTTCTAGTTCCAGCGGATGCTGAAGTAGATTCTGTCATTTTTCGACTTCGCGCCACTGACCAGGATGCAGATTTCCCACTTGTTTTCGAAATAACTGGTAATTATAACGAATATCGCATGGACAAAGCAGAAATAAACGCCTTCGTTAAAAAAATATTTTATTTGTTTAGCTACCATCACACCTGTTGTAAGGATCGACAACCTGCCGTGCACGCTGTATAACAAAGTGTGTCAAGCTAATGTAATACTAACGAAACGGCTAATGCCCGGCCGCCTCCACGATTTTGCTGTTAGGGTTAGGGACACGAAAGGAGATTCGAACTCGATGCAAGCTACTATTTCTGTTACGAACGCAACCACCCTTCGTGATAAAATATTCCCGCACATACCCTCTCTGATAATGGTACCCGAGGTAACTATTTATTGTATTAATAACAACGATTAGCACTAGCATTCAACACGTTAATAACTACAACACCTTCCCCATGACAATCGAATACATATATTCTTTTCGCATACCGATGGTATCGCACGATATATTGCTTCGTTCTTTACTGTACGTTTTATGAATCACATTGTTTGAAACTGAAGAAATATTAACTATAAGACCTCTCCTATATTTTAAAATTATTGCGAGGAATATGTGTTATTCTTATTGTTTTATATACTTTTCATAAACAGTAATATTTCTTTATCAGCAGTGTTCTACTATTTAATACTTTTAGCAAAATAATAAGAATTAATCTTTTACACGTTAGAAAATCTTGAAATTAATAAGTGTAATCTGAATATGCATGCGTGTAATGTTCGATATGCTGTTGCTCTCGTATCAAATCATATTCCTACTCTCGTTTCCTGCTTTCATGTTAATTGCCTATTATTATGCGAGAAATCTTCTAATCTGCCAAGTAAATCATAAATGTTATGATTTAGTAATTCTAAATATAGTTTTTCATTTTCATGCGTTAACGCCATATCGAAGATTATACCTATTCGTCCATCGTAAGGTATTCTAAGTTATAATAAAAGAAATTGAAATGACGTGCAAAGTAATGTTTATAGATGTTGTTATTTCTATACTCAGAGGTAAGATCGGAATAGTTATTATTTTATCGAATGGATAAATCTATCACACCATTCTGAGCCAAAAACACCTTTATTGCACGCGCTTACAAAAACTAAGGATAAAAACAAAAAGGCATCTTAAGCCTATAAATCTATCGATTGTAATTAGGATCATCCTCTAATTACTATTTCTTATAACTAACGTATTTGCATATGGATGACGAGCACGAACTCCCGTTATCATTTTCAACGATAGGTTACATTAACATTAATTTGTCAGAAGACAGTCTCTATTTTATCGTAAAATAAATTGTACAAAATCAGTGATTACAATGTTAATCTTATGAAATTATTTGCTTAGGATACTAAACCAGGTAAAGAATTAGATTATCTTTTAGTAAGAGCTAATTCTTGGAGTGGAAAACCCGTTTATATCGAACTGTGGGTAAGTCACAGAAACGAACAGTAATTTTTAAAACGTAGTATGTTAAGTAATACTTAAAAGTATACTATCGCTACTCGTATATCTTCCAAACAATAATTTATTATTTTTATAGCAACCAAAAGAACTTTTCACTATAAGACAGCGACAGACACCCACGCAAACACGAGGAATAATTACACTAACTGGAGAATTAGATTTCGAAACGCAATCCATGTACACTCTTACCATGTATGCTACGGTATGCGATATTTGAATAAATACTGTTAACTACTTTCTGGTAGAAAATTTAAATAACACAGTTTATTTATTAGGATCCCTATACGGAGCAGGGAAAAGATACTAGAAATATTGCAGGCTTAAGCGTTGTTGTGATAGTTCAAGATGTTCAAGATGTTCCTCCAATTTTTACGCTAGCCCCTCCCCTCACAAGGATTAACAATTCTGTACAACCTGTAAGTTGTTTCCTTTCTTAACATGATATTTATGTGTCTAATGAAATATATAAATTTTATAAAATTAGATAAGTAGGAATGAGTTTATCTATTTGTATCTGTTGGAACAACTGAAAATTAGATTCACAAGAAAGAGCAAAGAGAATTTCCATTTTTGATGATATCACGATATATGTACGTTTCATTAATAATAATTAGGAGTACAGAACTGTCGGACGACTATAAGGCAATAATATTCACATAATGTAATGTTAGACAAACTATTAATTTAGTAAACTATTTATTTATATATATTACATTTAATTAAACTATACACGAAATTATTAAGTGAAAGTTTAATATACTGATTAGAAACAGAGAATATCCAGCCTCAATTAGAACGAATCAAGGAACATCCCCATTCTTTCTACTTTTATTATTTCCGACTAGTATAATTTTATATTGCATCAGAAGTAATATATCTTCAGCGTAAAATTAGAAAACAGGGCTCACAGTATCGAATAACACGACTAGATATTTTTTATTCCGACAATAATAGAAATGGATCGTCCTTATTTTGTTCTAATTCCAATTCTATATTCTAAAGTGATTAATTAGAGAAAAATATCGTTAATAAATTTTGAGCAATCAAACGTAGGCCAGAAAAGCTATTTCCGATACGATGTCTCATATAAATAAAACAAATGTATACGTTGATTTCAGGGCGATATAATACTACGAGTGCACGCGGAAGACGGAGATAAAGGTGTACCGCGTGAGATCGTGTACGGTCTCGTATCTGAAGGCAACCCCTTTACGCCATTTTTTAACATCTCCGAAACAAATGGTAAGAAAATATATCGTGATTTTAAAAAATGTATTTGAAGAATTAAACAATGTTACTGTTTTATATTCTTTCTCTTTTTGTTTTTTTATTCTTTCCTTTTCTTCTTTTTTTTTTTCTATAAGGACATCCAGATAGTATTTTTATACAAAGAATCTTTAACACGTAGTTCGCTTCTGAAATACAAATTATTTACTTACCTATGACAGTCAATGGAAAGTATCGAATTATTCGTAAAAATATTATACACCACTGAATAGATCAAATTTCCTATATAAAAATAAGCTGATTATTTAGAACAGCGCACATCCCATCGATATCGATGAGCTTGAAATATATCGTCAAAGTCAATGTACTGAATGATCTTTTTCTATAGATATAATTGCTTAATTTTCGAGTTATCAAAACCCAATTGACGATTAAACTTGAAAACAACTTGTTGTGAAGTTAGGAAGAAAACTTGTTACGAAGAAAACAACTGTTATTTCCAGAAGATAGATTTGAAAAAATGTCGTTATACGAGTTTGGAAAAATATTTCTAGAAGTTGTTATTAGAATAGTTAAGATCATTATTTTAAACTTTTAAAATTAAAATTACATAAATTATATAACCATGGCTATCATTCTATCTTGTGAAGAAGTTCTATCACACGGACAATCCACAATCGCGTAAAGTTTTACAATCGGTACTTACGTTGGTCCATAAATTCAACAGAGCGTGGTGAAAATTTGATTACCACGAATATGACCGGCAAACATAATAATTTACAGAGGGTGTAATTACATTTCCTAGCGTTCCCATCAGTAAGCGAATTATTCACAGGTTCACCGACATACACACCGTCGAATGACCTGATTTCTCAGGAATAATCCACTCGATGAGTAGGGTTTCAAATTAATTTACCACTACCTCGAACTCCACTTCCCGACATTAAAGCGTGAAGGAATGATTCATACTCTTAGAGGTACAGCTAGCACGGAAAAACAGATTACGTATGCAGTTCTAGCACAGTGAAAAATGAATGAAACCGTGCAGAGTGCGCTGGGAGAAATTCCATTACGAGGAGAATACACCATTGATCAATAAGAGTCAACAGTTTCTCGATTTTCCCATAAAAAGAACCTTTTTCATTTCCATCAACTTCTCGATCGTTAGCGATGGAAATGGCGCTGTTAGAAGCAAATATTGTAACCAAGGTAAATGTCCTTAAGAAATTTGATTGTCTTTTTTACGCAATTCTTGGATGTTAATGCGGTGTCTGATTTTAAGCAGTTCTTCGTCTCTGTTGTTCCAATTTTTCTGTATTTGTATAGTAAACGGTCGGTCGTCACTTCTCAGAAAGTGCCATGAAATGGATCTGTTTTATCGAAGACCTAATCGTGTGTGATTTTGGCGTGGCCATTTTCCAATCAGAAAATTATGGACATTTCTTTTCTCTTCGCGGTACTGACACGTGATTCGCTCAGTTGCCCGATCGGTCAACTCCACGCAAAAGTAGAGAAAATTGATGAAATAATATATATATATATAAAATAAGCATCGAACAAGCGCATTAGCAGCAATATTTAAAAAATTTCAAAAAGTTTCAAGAAGGACTCGGCTACTTCGGCTTATAAGTCAGCTCGTGTAGTGTTTGTTAGAGAGAAAACGTCGTTTTTACTCGTTCATTGATCAAATCTACGGTTTATGCAGCACGTTTTCCAAAATTAATGCGTTCCATTATAGATCCTTGGAAAAGGGAAGGCTAAGGGCCGTGAAACAACGAAGCTACTTTATACGCTTGTTTCCACATGATTACAAGCTCGCACGAACGTGTTATCTAACGTCTGAGATCGGTGATACCGATTCTTTTCGCGGAACCAAAAACGAGTCAGGCGAGGAAGTGGCCAGAACTCGGTAGAAATGGTCAGAGGAAAGTCTTGACGGTCTACAACGCGGTATCGATCGTACTTAGGGGTCAGTCTCTGCTTTTCAGGCTGCGATGCTTATCATTTCGTGACACGAAGCATGCGACCTCTTCGTACTCGTGTATGTATCGTATGTGTGCACGCGCGCGCGCGCGTGTGTGTGTATAGACGTAACTACCAGAGAAAACCAGTGAAAAAGAAACACAGACAGGGCCAGAAGGAATATAGAAGATAAAAGCGTATTGTGCTCTGTAAGTATAAATGAGCGACCATATCTTTACGCGCTACCGGAATAAATAGACTCGATAAGGAGAATTTTAGCTATTTAATTACAATTGCGAAATACGTATCTGTTTGTTACGATCTCGGTATATGTTAAATTCGTAAATTTATTATAGATATCAGATGATATCTTGAACATAAAATTTGCAAATATATAAAGTTAAGAGGACTACTTAAAAATTTGGAATACGATGAATGTACATGTAGATAATGCTGAAGAAGGTATGGCTTACGATGTACAAATTATTATCGTCTCTCATCGCACGTGTATATTCGTATTTATACAAATATTTGTGCTGAATTATTATTAACTATTTTAAGTTATATCAGTTTATAGGAGATATAGTTTTATCGAAATTTATTCTCAAACAGGTAACATTATTTTAAAGGCTTCTGTATTTCCTATATTTATTTGTATCGTTTCAATAGAATCGTAAATACTTGTATCATTGAATTAATAATTACGCAATGTACTTCAACCATAATTATATAATCGTTGATATCTTAGAAACAAAATTAAGTGAATAACTGTGTAAATGAGAATAAGAGTTAGAGAATAAGAAGGTAGTACAATGCAATGTATGTTAATAAGGGCAGTTCATTCGCTAAACTCCATTTCGTGATGTGTTATGGAAAATTTCCATCACTGGACATGCATGCTCTGTATGTCATACATAAGTAACAGGGATCATTGACCGAAATGTTTTATTCATAATTCCCAATAAAAGTAATTCGATCGTGACATAGCTTATTACTCGAACATTTACGTATAATACATGCAAATAAAGACCTAAACATAATACAAGTCAAGTATTAAGTCTTCAACGATCTTTTCGAGAATGTATTAATTTATACAAGAGGATGTATAATTTGTACAATGATTCGTCTCATAAACGTATCATTTCAGTTATTTACATTTTATCCTACATGTGGATTATATGGCATTCACTTGATAACTCATTAATTAAACCTTCTGTTCATACAAATCGCCCACAACATGAACAATGTTCAGTTATTATTCATAATTATTAATTAGTAGATATTCTAATTTTCTTTATTCAAAATGCAAACATAGTTTAAATTTTCATATCTAAATATTTTCGTAGAGTGAAACATAATGTATTTATATACATGTTTCGAAGCTTTTTAGAGATTTAGACTTATTTATAATTGTTTGATTGATAGGTGAAATAACTCTTGCCAAACCATTGGAGGAACTTACCCAAATTACGCACGTTGGAGCACCCGTTGTACTTACGGTGGTTGCTGAAGAAATAAGAAGAAGCAGAGAAGAACCTCCTGCCCAAGCCACAGTCGTTGACGTTGGCTTTCTTCTTGGGGAGCCGGGAAATAGTCCACCATACTTCGAGAGCGATAAGTTGGTACCTGAGTCGTGAATAATTTCCACTTTAATAACTATGAAATTTACAAATTGTTAAGGACTAAATAAATTACACATCAGTTTTATTCTATGTCTTTTTACTAACGATTGAAAAAAGCATATAATCGTTAGAGTATTAATTATTACGTACAGGAGCAATGACATTAAAAATGATAAATTTAATTTTAGTTTAGTTAAGCAAAACAAAAGTTTAAGATAGATTAGATTATTCCTTCTTCTGAAATTTGAAATTTATGAAAAACGAGGGAATTTCAAGTATTTCCCGACCACTTTTCAACCTGTACATTTCCGTTAATCCTAAAATGTAATTTATATTTATAAAATATCTTATTCCTTTGCTGTAGTTACGTTGCTACGATAGACGAAAATCCTGAGCCGGGGACCGTGATAAATTTTGGTGAGCAATATTCAGCCAGAGTGAAAGACGAAGATATTGGAAAAGCCGGGGTGTTTGCGTTAAAGTTGGAAAATAACAATAATACGTTTGAAATAAATCCGACGGTTGCAGAACGCAATGCAGACTTTGTTATAACCGTTCGAGATAACACATTCATCGATTATGAATTATACAAAGTTTTATCGTTCAAGGCGAGTATAGTATATATAGATTGGTCATTACATTATATCTGTATCACAAAGTTTATAGCTATCTAAAAAAAAAAAAAAATATAATAAATTATAATAAGTTTAATTATTCTTCGATCAATTCTTCTTTGTTTACTGTCATTAATGTAGTTTCATTGAATTCAGATTGTAGCTCAGGAAGTTGGTCCAGCCACGAATCTATCAGCGTCAGTGCCAGCTACAATATTTTTAAGAGATATAAACGATAATCCGCCAATATTTGACGAACAATCATACGAGATAACGTTATCTGAAAACGTAACTGCGGGTTCACGCGTGATTCAGGTAAACACCTAACTATCTCTCGAAGAAATTTCACGATTTTCATAAGTAGATTATTCATATAATCTTATAATCGTAATACCACTTATAATTATTAATTGCTTTTAAATATACCACGATATCTAAGAGAAACCTATACAAACTGTTAAATAATAAAAACTATTATTTTCATCTGACTTAGATTGAAAGAAATTTCTTGATCCTTTCTTTGTAAACCATTGTATCTATATTTCTTCTTTACGTTTTTCACGTTTTTCATATATACAACTATACAAAAATATGTACATTGTTCTGACATAAGTTACAAGGTTGAGGAAGAAATGATTAAATAATATCGACTGTCAAATAAACATTATAATATCTTCTTTCGATAGGTGCACGCAACTGACAAAGATACAGGTGTTTATGGCAGTATCCGATATACCGGTATAACAGGAGAAGGCAGCCAAGCTTTCACTATGGATTCAGACACTGGATTAATAACTGTCGCTATGGGCTCTTCCTTAGATCGTGAAGTTGCAGCAAGACTTGTATTAACCGTTGAAGCTCGGGATGAAAATGGCAATGGCAACAGTGGCGTTGTTCCTTTAATAGTTAATCTACTTGACGTGAATGATAATGCACCAATATTCGAAAAGGACGTTTACGAGTTTATGTTGAACTCTGATCTAACTAATTTTACATCACCAGCTTTGATAAAGGTATATTAAACAATCTTAACAATTATCTTCTGTGATTAGTACGCCCCCTGCATCTTACGATCTTTTTATATAAACCATTGTACTAGAAAATAATTCAAAGTTACAATATACGTAGTCATATTATAAGTAGACTGAGGATGTTTATGAATTTACGAGAAATCTAAGCAGATATATATCTAAATGTAACATGGTATTATTATGTGTAATTTACAAATAATTGGAAAATTTATCCATTTACTATCAGTCTATAGTTGCGTTGATGAAGATAGGAATTTTCATAGACATCTGCAGTGTAATTAAATGATATAAACAAAGATCTTGCAAGGAAAAAGAGAATGTAACTATTGACAGGCGATTGACGCTGACGCAGAGCCACCCAACAACGTAGTTAGATACGAATTAGTTTACGGAAACTACGGGAAGAAATTCGATTTAAACGAAACGAGCGGTGAATTAATACTTCTGTTGCCGATTACGAAATTCAGACAAAAGAAACAGAGCGCATACGAGAAATTTTCGAAGAAAGCTAAAACGAAATTTGTCAATAGTCAAGAAGAAATACGAAACGATTTCTTCATGGTGACTAGAAACGTGAATGAATCTACGAGGATTAATTTGGGAAATTTAACGAAGGAAATGTCGACGGAAGTTATAAAGAAACGACGAAAACGAGCTGACGACGATGCACTGTACACTCTCACTGCCAGAGCATACGATCTAGGTAAACCGATAGAAGATTATTTGTCCAATAACTTTCCTGCTTACGGTATAAGTGCAAAATAATGTAATTTATTGTTAGACACAAATAATATACATTTTTGCAGGTGTACCTCATCTTTCAAGTACAACAAAAATTCGGATCCTCAGTGGAATCGCAATGGAAGCACGCATAATGATGTTCGTGGTGCCAGGAGAACAGCCGAACTCAACGAAAACTGCTGAAACTTTAGCTGCTATTACAGGTGGTCGAGTGACTGTGTTAGAAACGCGACCTTATATTCAACGGAATGACACTGGAAGTACAGGGATTCTTCCTGGAGGAGGAAAAAAGTTAGTGATCTACCGATATTCGGTATATGATCATTACGATTTAATCACTCAATGAAAAACATTTTCCAGCTATGAATCAGTCGATAGTTAGATTCTGATATACACTATTAGAGGGATTATTCATTGTAAGATTTTCTAATAAAATCTTATATTTATTTTTTATTTATATACTCATTATAAAATCTTATGATAAATAATATTGTCAAGGAATAAGGAAAGGCAAATTTTCTTTAATATTCAATCTCTTTGGATTTTTTATTTTACATATGAAATCAACAGTGAAATAACTTAAACTATACTTTTTCAGGAGTATTATCGTGGCTCGCGTCGAGCAAACGGAACCAGGTACGTCTTTGGTAGATGTAGAAAAGATTCGAGAAGCTTTAGCTGCGAATGGAGTCGGGATCATTGCTGGAAACGCGATTATGAACACGAGTATACATATCGACAATACAAACGCTCCTGTTGATGAAACTCCACGTCATACAAATGTTAATGATGGTCAAACGACTCTTATTAACAATACTATTGCTGCTGTTCCAAGCGAAGAAGTGGTATGTATACGATTCTCAACTTCCAAATTATATAGTGAAAATTGTAAAATGAACCATTTATCTGCAATAATTACTTTGTCTTGTTGTTTGTAAGATATTTAAATAATTAGCACTTGAATGTCTAGTTTATATCAATTACGACTTTCGTAATTTATTACATTTAGCTACATTTAAAAAAATGAATGAAAATTTGGATGAATGTTTTAGACGGTGTACAAAGCAGAAAACAAATTATTATTCTGGCTTCTGATAATCCTGGTGTTACTTATACTTTTGGCCATTGCCGCGTTAATTATCTGCTGCATATGTCCTGGATGTCCTTTTTATATGGCACCCAGAAAAAGACGAGTACATTCGTCAGAAACATTGGTCGTACGATCAAATGGAAGACCAAAACGACATCTTCATCGGCAGCCTGCGGTAGCTACCGAAGGTAATCTATTTTTAAATTATTATGTGTATAAATTTTATATAATCGTATATATAATACATGTAATATAATACATATAATAATATAATAAATAATACTAATGATAATAATATAATTAATAACTTAATATATTGTTGATTATAAGTATTAAAACATCTGCTATATCTTATGTCACTCATATTATACGTCGTATAACGTAAAAAAACCTATAATTTATTTTAACCATAGAATTATTTAATTACACAATACAAATACGTTTAAAGTTTAATATAAAGCTTAAAAACCTAAACGACTTTATAATAACGCGAAAAGTTACTTTAAATAACATGTGATATTTTTCGTATTAACCAAAATATCGTATCATTATCAAGGTTTTATATTTGTTATTATATTTACGTTATTTTTGTATCTTTTATATTATTATCATATTAAACAAGTATCACGCTATTATTTATATGAACTTTTATCGTATCTCAGTATCGTGGAATGGAAGGAAACAGGCGTGGAGTGCTGATCCAACAAGAAGAAATTGGCAATTCAATAGAAGAAACGTAAAGAATTGTTCGCTTCCTGGCGACGTTGCTTACATTTCTGGGCAACCAAACGACGTTCAAATGAACCTCGAAGCTCAAAGATTAAGAGATGGACATTCTTACGGTCACTCGAGGAAGAGCAGAATAAATGAACAAGAAAGAATGTACATGGAGGATGTGGAGGATCAAAAGGCAAGAGGTTATCGTACTGCGGAATTAGACTCTTTGCAACGACATGAGATGGAAAGAGGTTCCGATCTGCAACATCAAGCTTATAGGCAAAGGTAGGTAAGCTGTCATCTCACGTTCATTCATACGTTTTATTTTTATATGGAACGAAATGGAATAAAATGGAACTCTAAATTTACACGAAATGAAATGAAATAATACAGCGGAGGGGCTCGTTCTCTTTCTCAAAGTCACGATGTCGTTGTGTAGTTTCTTCAGGCTTGAAATCATCGCTGAACTAAATTATCTTTCTTGTAAAAAAATGCAGGACTAAGTTTATATTGATTAAAATCAGATTAAGTTGAATGTTATTCGCCACTTTTCTTTAGTATGCCTATCGTCACTATTCTCTGTTGTACTTACATATAATTATAATCATTAGTTACAATCATAATACTCGTACATAATACTCATAATAATCATAATCATAATACTCGTACTCTGTTTCAACTAGAACCAACTTAAATAGAATTTAAAACAGTTCTGTTCACCTCACGTAACATCGTCAGTCGCCTTAATAAAATCATTAGTAACATCATTGATAGGTCGTTGCTTTTATATATGTGTAGCTGAATCAAAATTCGATCGAAACTCAATTCCATAGATTCGTGGAAGCCGACATGAACGAAGAAGCAACTGTCAGAGAGCAACATTTCTACCGCGAAGGAAACGCTGAAGTCTTACGGCTAGTGACACGAGGACAAGTGGAAGATACGACAAGCCATCTTCACCAACCTCATCATCATCGCCCAACAGCCTTGATCGTAGATGGCAAGGATATAATTCTGCAAAGATTCATAGAAGACCAGAAGTCGAGGCACGAGTTGTCGATGCAGGACATCGAAGCAGCTCGTAGCATGGAATCGCATCAACGATCGAAAGAAGTATGTCAGCAACAACAGCCAGAGATAATCCTGATACCGGACAGGTTGGATCTCGGTCATAGGCAGCACATCGAAGAAATAGGACCTAACGTGCAGAGGCTAGTGATCGATCACGGTGACTACGGTTCGCAAAAGATAGAGCAAGAATCTCTAAGGGAATCTCAGATGAGAGAAACTATGAGGCAAGAGAAGCAAGAGGCTGTTGCAAGTGGTGCTCCAATTGCTGAAAGACCGCCGGTCGTTACCACAGATCACGTTCAAGCAAATAGCAGCCAGTATCCGTTTCACGACTTGGAACTAGCAAGACAAAACGCGCTATTGACTCGATTACTACTCGAAAGAGAAAATCGTCGTGCAGGAGGCGGTGGAGTGGACTCCACGAGTTACTTAGAAACCCAAAGCCTTCCCGGACAAGTAGCGATCGCTACTCAAACCGACAGAACAGCGGCCACTCAAACGGAACGTCAGGTGAAAAGCAGAAGCGACAACGACGAATCCGACGAAGAGTCAAGACACAGGAAAAAATTGAAGTCTAGGAAGAAGTACGGCGATGGAGATTGGAAAAGGTCTAGAACTCTATGGATGAAGTCGCCGATCGAAGAAGAAGTGAGTCCTTGTTTCGATAAACGATTGAGCATTCTGAGGAAAAAAGTGAGGGAGGTGAAAGAAGGCAGGAAGATTTCTCTGGAGCCGGATGTGCTGAGGGAAATTTCGGATTCTTTGGATGGAAACGGAAGTTCGTACAAAGGCGAAGAGGACGAAACGATGCGGAGTTATCAAAAGACCGAACGCACGAGCATCAGTTATAAGATTCTGAACGAGAAGGAGACTGGCTCGCAATCTTCCGAGGAGATACGTAAGGAGAGGCACGAGAAAAGTTGCGAGGACGTGACTGACGATCAAAAGATGAACGTCACTGAGTCCACTTCCTCGCCAGAAATAAAAGTTCAACGTGAAAAGTACGTCCGCGAGAAGGCAGACGGCAGAAGTCCAAAAAAGGAGGGAAAATCGAAGACGCAGAAAAAGTCAGATGGCGTGATAAAGCCGAGTTTCAGGATTCTTGAGAAAGAGTTTACAATGCTAACGAAGAAACTGAGCAAACTGGGTGACAAAAAATTTCAGGAGAGCACTGGCAGCGACAGCACGAGCCAGGAGAAGTCAGACTCGTTTGCGAAAGAGCCGAAAAAGGACTTGGATCAGAAAAGCGCGAAGAAGATGGATTCCTCGAGTTCTCAGAAACAAGCAACTGAATGTACCGCGAGCTCGTTGAAGGCCGAGCAGAAAGGAAAACAGAAGAAGGAGTCAGCCATAGCTAAAACGAAACAAAAGCTGAAATATCAACAGAGTCAAGTGATGAGTACGGGAAGTTCCGAGTTCGACGATGCTCTTGACAAACCGAAGAAATTTTGCGGAACTCGTCACGAAACCGTGAAACAGAAGCAACCAATTAGCACTCAAGGTCACGCGAAAGTGAAACGTCAAACGCATATGGAGCGACGAGAACCTAAAAAGCAAATGTCCGAATTTCGAGACGAAGAAGTTGAAAAGCGAAAGGAAGGACCCTCGAAGGAAACACCAAAGGCTGAATTGAAGTCTGAGAGGATTGGGAAAATGATGATAAAAGCACCGAAACTGGCTACTATATCTCGTAAACAGAACATCGCTGAAGAAACCAGTACCAGTACAGAAGAAAGAAGAGGAGGAAGAGATGCGTTTACTCCAAGAGATTTCGAAAAGAAAAGCAGTACAGAGTTTTCAGAAGGAGATTCAAATGGCGTACAGCAACGCGTGGTAGAAAGGTTTCCAAAGAAGATAATTGAAAAATTTAGCGACGACTTCGTTGAAGAACCGAAGAAAGAAACCGTGAAACAACAAGCAACAATTTCTACGGGAGAAGAACGGGATACAACGAACGTAGAAAAACACAAGATAGTTACAGAGAAAGAATTATGTATTCCTGACACAATACAGGTGTCAAAAAATGGGTTGAAGTGGATTCGAGATACATTCGAAGAACCTGTGAAATGTGATGATTCTACCGCTCATGCTAAAGAAGAATTGATTAGAGGTTTTACGGCTATTGATACGATGGCTGCAACTAAGAAGGAAGAGCTCAGTGAAACTATCGTACGAGATCGGCAAACTGATAAAACTTCGCCTGAAAAAGAACCTATGGAGAGTATAAAATATAGCGACACAGCTGAAAAAAAAGAAAGTACGCAAACAGATAAATTAACGAGCGAAGCTGAAAAAGACATAGCTGAACATATAAAGGATAAATTAGAAGATTATAAGGAAGAAGATAAATCATTAGATGAGTCCAAAGAGCAAATTGAAATGATACCAGTGCGCGAGTTAGAAGAGCGGAAACAAGACGATAAAGAAGATGATAAATACGAGTATTTGGAGCAGAAAATGAAAAAGCTGTCAAAAGATGTTGGGGAAGAGAGTGTAGTTTTAAAAGAGCTTAAGAGGGCAGAAGTAGAATATAGAGCTGAAGGAATTTCTACAGGAAGGGAAGAAGCAGAAAAAGAACTAGAAGTCGAAGTTGATGCTCTTAAGGAAGAAGAACGTAGTGATAAAGTAGGTACAGTGCAGAAGATCGAAGAACCAGTTGAGAACTATATAGAAACTGAAATGCCAAGTAATGGACAGGACAGTGTGAGACAAGATGTGGCAGATGAATCAAAAATACGTGGGAAAAAAGATAAAACGGATAAAGCTAATGGAGAAGAGGAAAAATCAGTAAAACACGTAGATGGTTCAAAATTAGATCACGCTACTATCGAGGAGAAGGAAGGTCCAATGCAAGCAACATCTAGTGACCAGGAGAAAAAAAAGATCGACTCAGACACAATTGAAGTTCCCCGTGAAAAAGAAACTACGTCAATGAATGAAACTTACGATCGAAAAGTTGAAGAAAATGTTTTTTTAGATGAACAGAAAAAGTACGACGAAGACGTTACAAGAATTAAACCTGTTGATCAAATTGTAGAAAGTACTTTCGTAGATGAAGATAAAGAAGGCATTAGTGATAAAAACGAAGTCATGGTGAAAGCTACAACTGAGGATGACAAAGCTGTTGAAAAGGCAAGTGAGGATTATAAAATTACTGAAAAAGTAACTGAGGATCAAAAATTTGATAAGAAAATAATGGATGATCGTAAAATTTTTCCAGAAGCAACTATGGATCAAGAAGTTGGTAGAGAAATAAATAAGGATCAGAAAATTGATGAACAAGCGAGGGAAATTGATCAAATTACTCGAGAAGAAACTTTTGGGGATCCCAAAATTATCGAAGAAGCAACGAAAGATCAAAAAATGGATACAGAAGTAACTGAGGGTCAGAAAGTTGATAAAGAAACCACTAAGTTTACAAAAATGGATACAGGAATGAAAGAGGATGATGAAATTCTTGATAAGACACCAGCGGACCATAAAATTATTGCAGTTACTGGAGACAAAAAGACTTCTAAAGAAACAACTGACCTTGAAATTGTTGAAACAGTAATTCCAGATGATAAAATTGTTATAGAAACAACTGAAGATCGGAAAATTGATGAAAAAGCAGCAGAGGGGTATAAAATTTCTAAAGAAGCTACCATGGACAAAGAAATGACTAAATCGACAACTACAGATTATCAAATTGGTAAAGACACAAAGGACGATGATGACATCGCTGGAGAACCAACTGCAGATCAGAAAATTGGTAAAGAAACAAAGGACGATGATGATGTTACTGGAGAACCAACTGCAGATCAGAAAATTGATAAAGAAACAAAGGACGATGATGTCATCGCTGGAGAACCAACTGCAGATCAAAAAATTGGTAAAGAAACAAAGGACGATGATGACATCGCTGGAGAACCAATTGTAGATCAAAAAATTGGTAAAGAAACAAGGGACGATGATGACATCGCTGGAAAACCAATTGCAGATCAGAAAATTATAGAAACAGTTGAGAAACAAGACACTGAAGAAACTAAATATTATGAAACTATTGAAAAAGCAACCGAGGACTTCAAAATTACTGAACCAGAACCTACATATCATAAACTGGTTGAAAAGACAACTGAGGATCACACAAGCGTTGGCGATCTCGGAATTTTAACAGAGACTATCGTTGATTTCGTTGGTAAAGAGAAAGCATCCGATGGGGAGAAGAAAATTTCAATGGAAATCGATAAGGACAAAGTTAGTGAAAAAGAAGCTATTTTTTTAGATAAAGAAAAGGTGCCTGGTGAGCAAGCAGGTACTACAGATCTTAAATCGGATGATCAGCAAATAGACAAAGAGGATGTTCTAAATGGAAAAGAAAAAACCGTAGATATTACGCCTGATAATGAAAATGAAAAAAGAAAAAGTAGTTCTCCCAAAGAAAAGGAAACTTCTGCAAAAAAAGAAGTTACGAAGGAACCAGTTACTAGCGACGATCACAAAATTAGTGAGAGAGATGTTTTTATTGACACGAAGAAGGAAACACGTGTTGAAGATGAAAAAGAAATTGTAAAAAGCGAAGAAACCAAAGAACAAGCAAGTATTATCGACGATGAAGAGAAGGAAAAATATCACGATAAAGAAGAAAAAATAATTATAGAGACTGTAAAAATTGATGACCATCCGATCGAAGAAAAAGAAATTAGTAAAGGAATGCAAAAAATAGACGATTCCAAAGCCACTGAAATAGAGAGTACAGAAACAGAAGAAACTGATGACAGTCAAATTCCTGTCGATGGAATTGTCCCAGAAACTTCAGAAATTAAACAGCAAATTACAATTGAAAAACAGGATGATACATCAACGATTCAAGATTATCAGATCGATAAAGAAGTTATTCCCATGAAAATACCTGATGACACCACTGAAGAAAAAGATGATTCGTCAAAAAGATCAATCACTGAGAAACAAGATAGTGAAATAACAAAGGACTCGATAGAAATGCCTACTTTGATCGATAGTGATATGAAAGAAGAAAGTCCAATGGAGTCATCAGCTGTTGATGATCACACTGATAAGACAGTTGATGTCTTCGATACATTAACGAATGGCAAAGGATCGATAATTCCAAGTACTGAAAAAGAAATTGCAACTATCGAACAATCATCTACAAACGATAGAATTATCGAGAAAGAAGTTGCTTCGTTATCTTTCGACAACAAAGAAGAGAAAGAAAAGAATGGAGTCCAAATTTCGAATATTAGTAAATCTCCGACTCCTCAAACAGATGGCGAGTCTGGGACACTTGTGGTACCACCAGTAGACGATAAACAAACGAAAGAAGACGCGGGGAAAGATAAAATTATTGATCTCTCGGATGATGACAAAATAATATCGACTTCAAAGGATGCGGCAGAAAAGGTTGAGCAAATTAATGTTCTTGAAGAAGCAAAGGGAGAGGAATCCGACGAAAAGATAAAAATCGATGACTCCTCGAGAGACGAAGCGACAAAATTAGTGGCAGAAGAATCTGTCGAAAAATCAGAAATTGGTAAACCTTTAAAGGACGAGACAGCATCACCGGCGAAAGAAAGACAAGACACCGCCAAGGAGTTATTCGAAAAAACGCACGAAGTGAGCAAGGAACCCGAGAAACTTTCGGATAATGAAACAGCAGATAGCGAACTAGCACGAACTACCGAGAAGGTGGAGCAATTGCGCGAACCGTCAGGTAAAGTGAGCAGTAGTTTTCAGGAAATCGAATTGGTTGAAACTTCTCCGCAGATGTACGAGACGACAGAGAAAGAAAAGTTTGCGTTTGATTCCACTATACGGAAAGCTTCAACAGATTCCGGGAAAATATCCGAATCCGAAGAGCAGTTGAAGTCAGAGAGCGAGCAAACTGAATTACAGGAAGTAGAACAATTTGTTGAGGAACAAACTTTTACCGCGGAGGAAGCCGACATTCAGAGGGAGGCATTTCCGGAGGAACAGTCAAATATGGGATTTAATGTACCTACGATTGTCCCCAATGGCGAATCAGATAAGCAGGATCTAACGAAGCCGAAAATGGATAAAACTTTGCCTCTAGAGGAAGATATAGTGCAAGAAGAGAGGCAGGAAATACCTGTTGAGGGAAAATTTATAGACGTAAGCCTTCCACTTTTTACAAGCATAATAGATACGGTGGTTGATTCCGAAGATAGTGATTCATCGAGTGATATTTCCAGGAAGACAACGTTAACTACCAGACCGTATCAGACACCACGACATCGGGCTCCACAACTTTCTGAGAAAGAAATTAGTCAAACGGAGGAGGCAACTGGGCTGCAGGACATGGAAGATGAGGAACGAGTGACGATATCGATCGAAGAGATAGAAAATGAGGACATAGAATCTTCGAAGGAAGAGAAAATGTTCGTGGAGTTTGAAGATACAAGCGAAACAGAGGAAGATAAAGAAACTGTATTAAGGGAAAGGACTATGGATATACAAACGCATTTTAGTCCGAAGAAAATAATCACAGCGACTGACATAGAAGATATGAAGAAAGACGAGAAAACAGAATCTGGATGCAGCTTAGAACTGGCTAAAGAATCCTCGATCAGTACAAAACTAGAATCTGGAACGAAGGAGTGCGATACAAAAGCTGACAGACATGATGAAGCTCGTGACAAAGAATGTTCGACTAGTACGAAACATGTAAAGGATACGAAAATAGATTCTGAAACGAGAGGCTACGATAGAAAGCCTGATAGGCAAGATGAGGTTCGTGAGAAGGAATCGTCGACTAGTACACAACGTGTAAAAGATACAGAATTAGAACACGAAATGAAAGACGGCGATAAAAAGGTTGATAAGCCAGATGAACCGTCATTAATTTCTAAACTTGCAAAAACCGAGACCTTTAAAGTTACCGATAGAAGAATGAAAGAGCTGGAGAAGAAAAGAGTAATTCAACGAAGGAAGAAAAAAAGTACTTCCGAGGAATCTTCCGAGGAGAAAGCAACTCATTTTCACGATGTAACGAGTCACGGTGGGTATCGGACACGTAGAAAGCTCCCGGAAGAACAACTGAAGCAAAAAGATAGCGATCAAACGAAACAATCAAGGAAACGAGATGAGGAGTCACGACGAAAGCAATCTCTGTCGAAATTGAAAGCCGAAAAGGACAAAAAATCATCCAGTAGCAGCGAGAAATATCCAACTCCACCGAAAACTGGAGAAATCGATACGAGTAAGACACGACCGAAATACATGGCCTGGTACAAAAAGAATCGAGAAGAAATGGAAAAGAAACGAGCCGAATTAATGGCTACGGACGACGAGGAGCAACTTCCTCGATGGTTACGAAGGAGTATGAAAAATCAAAGAACTGAGAAGGAAGGTAAAAAGTTATCGAGCCATAAAACTGCTGACACGACTCCACGGGCTAGACGCAAAGTGAAACCTTTGGTAAACGTCGAGTCTGAACAATTGAAAGCTATCGTTCGTCAAGGAAGAAAATTAAGGAGAGCCGAAGGAGGAAAAAACGAAGATCCACCGGTTCAAATATTCGCGACAACGCCACCCTCGGCATCGCAAGATCCTAAATATCATTTGCTACAACATTCTGAATACAAATACGAAAAGATATCTGCGCCATTTTACCTTCATCCTCCACCTGTTCCTCATCCCTCTCCGCAATTGTCACCAGAACATTTTGATATTCCACCTACGATGGAACAAGGGTGTACCGGTGAAGATTTCGATTCTGGAATAGCAATATCGTTGCAGGGTGGCAACAGGTTGCGACACCAACAATTATTAGAAAAGAAAAGTGTATTTGATATCGCTTACAGCGAAGCTGCCCCTTCTCAACTTCGTTCTGACAGTACTACACCTCCGTCTTAAATTAGTAATAATTTGAGAATCTTTATAGAAAACTATCCTTCTCTGTCGTTTAACGATTTTTAAAATATTTATGCAGGACGGATACATTGTTAAACATTTTTGAATATTTTACGCGACAATTAACTTTATACAATTAATCAGTTGTTACGGTTTAACAAGTGTACAGGACAAGGTGAGGATAGATTTAAATCTATTATTATCGAGCTCTTAAATGTTATGAATTCTCAAAGAAAAAGGAAAAGGACACAAATTAAACTAAAAATGACTAAATTACGCACAAAAAATGCAGGGTTAATTATAACATAAAGTAGATTTCAAAAATTGTCACGTTTTAGAATTTACACTTTGATAGAGAATAACATGAGACGAATATGAAATTTGAAAATGCATTTAATCATAAAATTTGAAAAAACGTTCAATTTCGATCGAGAGTGATAAGTATGTATACATAGTATTTACTATAAAAATAGCATTGAAAGGAGTCTGATAGAGTTTAATGAATTTTACGTATGTATATGTACAAATTTGATCAATATTCATTATGAAATAAAAATATTTAATAATATAAGTAATTTTATCTAAAAGAAATCTATAAAATCTAATATAAAGAAGCAAACAGAACTATTCACTAAAAATTCTAAAATATATTGTATAGTGCTCACAACGTTTATATAATATAACAGGTCTCTAAATTATAATAATATAGTTTATTTTATTTTTAAATTTCAAACTGTGACGCTTTTCAATTTAATAATTTTAAAACATAAATATCTTAATATCGTTTTATAGAAGGTGGTAAAGAAAATGGTAAAATTGTCCCACTAATATCTATAAAAGCATAAGATGGAATTTTAAAAAAGGTATGTCCATGCCTTTCAGAATGTTTAAAAATTAATTAATTAATTTACATAATTCTGTCTTATAATAGATTTTTGCGTCTGTTTTAAGTATGTCGCTAGTCTCAGTTTTGTGAGATACCCTGCATTATTACGTTAAATATGTCGGAAACCATTATACATATTCTTATTCTTTTATTGTTTAATGAATATTAATAGTATTCTATAAAATCGATAGTACGTGCTTTTATCTGGTACAAGCTAAGTTGCTTTATCCGAAAGCTGAGTTTTTATAACTCGTAAAGATAATTTATGAACCCAGGCAATTGTTACAACCAACCTCATTAATTCTAATTGATTACACGACGAGCTGGTTGATTATACTGAATGGATTACATAGTGACTAATTATGGTCATAAAACCACTTATAGTACTCGTACGATTTATTGTTCATTCTCTTTTATTTATTGAATCAATTTTAAAGAAATCTGTACAAATTCTTAAAATGTACTAAAAACTGTACAAAACAACACTACATTACTCGCATTACTCTATCAGATTCCTGTTTTCTCAAAGAAATTACTTCTTTATAACTGGTTTATTCAAAAATGAATACTACTTTAAAGAACAATTTTGTTAACGTTATCGTCGTCCGAAGAAAAAAGATATATTGTTTCGATGACCAATTTTAGATTATAACTATTATTCCAATATTACGATGTTTATAATTATCTTGTAAATACATATATATATATATAGTCCTATGTGTTATTTCATTCGTATGTTCAATTTAACATACGATATCCAACTCTATGAAAAATTACTTATTCTGTAGATTGGGAAAAAGGTAAGTTCGAATTTATAGATAGATAACTTCATTTTCCTGTCTTTTAATCTTGAAGATTATTTTCATTATCATCATTAATATGCATAATGTGTTCCATCTAATATATAATATTAAATTCAACGTTCTTATGCTATTTTTTTATCGTAATACTTCTCATCGCCTTCTTACGTTATTACAATTATAAAAAGGGATCTTACGCCTCGTTGTCAATTTATGTAACATTCCATAAATAAGATATCAGTGATAATTATATTTGTGACAACAGCCGTGCAGAAACGATCTTCTACCGTTCCTGATATTCTGTTACAAAAATATCCTTGGTTCCGACTTTACCAGCTCTGATATGTTTTGCCGACCAGTCCTTATCTGCGTTCGATGCACTTGGTATCTCTCGCCTGTGCTGATACGGGGAGCTTATTATTATTCGCCAGATAAAGAGTTTATCATTATCGGTTAAATACAAACATGTCGACGTAAGAATATTTTTATCTTCGATACAATTAATTACTACTGAACTTATCTTCGAATTTGTGCATATGTAACATACTTAATATATATAATAAAATTATAATTGTACTGTAAAATTATAATTGTACTGTAATTATAATGGTACACATATATTATAACTGACTACCTGTCATACTATTAATAAAATAACTTAAATAACGTATTTTTCAAAATAAGGTAGGTAATATACTTTTTATAGATCAACGAGCGTTTCAGCAGCTGCTGAAGAAAGATCTACGTGATCGACCGTGATGGTGTAGCCTGTGAGTAACGACATCGCTAACATACGAGACAAAGTACTTCTCCGAACTGACGTAGTAGCGAAGACTGACGTATTATAACTTTTATGACGTATTCGTAGTAAGAACGTGATGTCATAGATGCAACTAACCTACCGTAATCGAGAATATAATGGTGCATCAAACATAACCGGAGACTGGTAAATTTTAGGATTGGGAAAGTAGAAACAACGCGTTGGTCGATCAAGCTGCAATCGCCGCTGCACAAAAAACATACGATAAATTTTATCGAACAATTATTCTATTAATTAACTAAACTCTGATTGATGAAATCGTTGAAAAGTTTCATTTTAAATGATTAAATATGTTATTATTTACATTTATTTGTTTATTTAATGCGTGTAATATCTCTAATGATATGATTATCTCTAATGAATATTTTACCACTTATATAATAACAACACGCGTGTATATATTCTAATGAAAGATTTATACATAATAATATATTTGAGATTGCTGTAATTACACGTTTGAAGATATTTTAACTTTTATTTACAAATTAACAAAATAGTTCGTTTTGAACATGATTTAAACAATCGTTTCATTAAGTACATCAAAATATGAATTTTCTTCGGAACACTAATTTGGGCAATTAAAAACTAATTGTTGTAGAATATATTTAATTAAGTGATAATTATATATTAATAATATTGAGGAAACAATGGAAGTTCAGTTATTTACTTCGAGTTATTGTTTATTTATTTATTTATTTTATATACGCGAATATAACAAATCTATAGCATTTATAAATATGTTATAAGAAGTCAAATTAAATGTTAAGCAAACTACACGATTTCATACTATTAATTATGTAAATTTTATATGTTCATACTAGGTTTTCTCGATACTCTCCTATTATCCAGTAACCTTAGCGGCCAGCAACTTGTGTTAAAACCGTTTCAGCGAATACGAAGATAAACATAGATAACAATAAATTGTAAGAAATTTTATTATAAAAAGTAGATTAAACGAATCTATAAGCCATACACGATCAGCAGCAAATAGAAGGTTAATGAATTTATATCATATTTATAACTCGTTTAACACATTAAACATTGCGGAAGTGTGAAAATATAATACAATAGGTTAGTAATAAATTAAATGCAACAAATAAAATATTATTACCTGAATTATTAATAATATTGTATTATCTACTACTCCCGATCATCTAGCAACAGAATTCTTTTTATTATCGCGTTCTTAATGAAATTTACAATCTGCAACGTGAACGAATAATAAATTTAAACATTAGACGTATTTGCAATATTATTTATATAAAAATATAAATACAATATAATTACACAAAATAATTTAATTTCTTCATAACTTCGATCAATTATTTAACGCATACGTGTCGATAAAATAAATATAAAATTATTTATTTAATGTTTAAATACCATAGAGTGCAACGCGAGAAGCGCACTTGTAACAGAATCTATAGAGCGTTACAACGTGAGTTTTGCAATTCATTTTGCAACTTACATTTTGCTGTAAATTTTACAACAATAAATAATGAACGATTTAGGCCTACGACTTTCAGAGGTCCACCGGTGTTCTAACGCAACCAATTCGTTGAATATCCCCGAGCTGAAGCGGAATCGAAATATCAAACGATACGCAAAGTACCGGCTTTTAAACAATGGATAAATGTTAATTGTTGTTAATAAAGAACACACATGTTGCTGATGCAACGGCGAACAGAGCCGCGGAAGAGGCTGCACCTGTAACACCAGTGCACGAAACGCAAACACACCTGGAACCTTTGACCTTTTCATCGACGCTCGGGTCCTACCCTCTCCTCTCGACCACCCCTTTCCCTTACCCTTTCCCTTCGCTAGCTGCAGTTCGATGAAAATGTTGCACTGTGCGCAATGGTCTGCGGTGCAAATCAGGTTCTACCTCTTGCACCCTGAAAGGACCAGGAAATCGAGTTAACTAGCTTTGCAATCCCGGTTTCGTTGGTTGTTGCTTCATTTATTTAAACCCTTCAATGCTTCAGATTTAATGCTTCGAGAAAATGTAAAAAGGCAATTTGTCAGTTTAAATGTTTCGCGACGATCATCCCCTGTATTGATTGTTAAGAGTACAAGCACTTTAAGAGAAACAAAAAACAAATGAAATGTTTTTTTCTACCGAAGCAATGCTATATCTATATCTTTCGATAAAGGATCAGGTATTAGTGAAAGCAAAATATTTAATTATTAAATAAACGTAGATCCCTACTCAACGTGCTATTGGAAGAAAGCTGCCTCTTTTAACAGAATTATTGCTTTTATAAAAGTGTAAGTTTTTCTGAGTATTTCAAATTGTCTTAAAGCGAATGAACAACTTTTTTCTCTGACACCTGAAGTTCGAAATCAACCGATATAGTGCAAGGATTGTGTAAAAGTACAGAAAATTAAATAAACGTTACTTTTTATAAATAGTAAACGAATTCCATTAAACGAGTACATTGAAATCGATCTCATTCCTAATGGTATTTCATGTTTTTATAAAAATCACGCAAGAAATTTGTATTTTATTAAGCATACAGTATAATTTACTAATATATTAATAAATCATCCATAAAATGACGTGTTCACCGTTCACATGAACACGTGAAAAATCGTATATCCTTAAAAGACGCGATTCAACTACATAAACATTTCCTGGAAATCTATGATAAATATTATACTATACGTAATAGTGTATAATAAATACGTCTTGGCTGTATTCGAAGATTATTTTTCAACTATATTAATTATGTAATGTATCTAAAAGATTTCAAGAAGATAATTAAAAACAATTAAGTCGTTTCAATTGTTACTTTTCTTATAACATCACGATATCAAAATCAATTGCTATACGCACAATTTTTAGAGTTACCACTATATCATAGAGGAAGCGACATCTTTACAGAAGCATAGTATAACTTTGCAATCTTTTATATAAACTATATAAATTATACCAAAGAAGTTCCTTATAATCGTACAATACAAAAATCATGTTGTCAG